CCCGTCAAAAAGGAGAAATAGCAATCACTAGCCGGGGAAAGGTCAGATGACCAACGACCTCAGCCGGCTGGTGACTGCCTTGATGTCATCCTAGATGACAGCCGTCCTGAAAGAACAGTCAAGGTCGGGACGGTAGCCTTCGAACGGTTGGGAGAAGGCTTGCTCCAGCTGCTGAAGGAAGTCAAAGACATCTTTGCCTTTGAAGTGGAAGAGATGCCAGGCGTCAGCCCGGATCTTGCTGTCCACAAGCTAGCCGTAGATCCCAAAAAGCAGCCGGTTAGGTAGAAAAAGAGGGATCATGGTGGAGAAAGATCTCAAGCGGCAGCGGCTGAGGTCAAAAAGCTGTTGGATGCTGGGTTCATTAGGCAATGCTACTACCCGGATTGGGTGGCAAATGTCGTTCTAGTAAAGAAGCCGAACGGTACTTGGCGGATGTGTGTGGATTACACAGATCTGAACAAAGCATGCCCAAAAGATAGCTACCCGCTTCCAAAGATTGACAGCCTAGTCGACTCAACAGCCGGCCATGCGTTAATGAGCTTTATGGATGCTTATTCCGGCTTCCATCAAATACCTCTCTGGAAGAAAGATCAGGAGAAGACGGCTTTTGTCACTGATCAGGGGTTATTCTGCTATACGGTGATGCCGTTTGGGTTGAAGAATGCACCGGCTACATTCCAGCGCATGATAAACACCGTTTTTATCAACCAGATTGGCAGGAATGTAGAGGCGTATATCGATGACATGATAGTCAAATCCAAGCTACAGACGGATCACCTAGCAGACCTGCGAGAAACCTTCACCACACTCAGGCGGCACCGGGTCATGCTTAACCCAAAGAAATGCGTATTTGGTGTTGAGTCTGGGAAGTTTCTCGGATTCTTGATTGACCAAAGAGGCATCGAAGCTAATCCGGAAAAAATACAGGCGGTAATTGACATGAAGTCTCCCCGCACTGTAAAAGAGGTCCAGAAGTTGACCGGTTGTCTGGCGGCATTGGGGAGGTTCCTCAGCCGGTCAGGTGACAAGTGCCTCTATTTCTTCCAGGCAATCAGGAAGAGGTCAAGGTTTGAATGGGGTGAAGAAGCAGAGGCGGCATTCCAGAGGCTTAAGCAGCACTTGCATTCTTTGCCAAGGCTAGTGAGCCCCCTACCCCGGGAGGTTCTGTACATGTACCTAGCCGTCTCTGATCACGCCCTTAGTGCCGTTCTCCTCGCTGAGAGAGACGGCATTCAGCTGCCGGTGTACTTCATCAGCCATGTCTTTAAAAATGCTGAGCTCCGGTACCCCATGATCGAAAAATTTGGGTTGGCCTTATTCGTAGCAGTCAAGCGGTTGAAGCCTTATTTTTTGGCACATCCGGTTGTGGTATACACAGATAAGCCGCTCAAGCGTACGATGACTGCTATAGAGTCATCCGGTAGAATGATCAAGTGGGCTGTTGAAATACAAGGCCTTGAGATAACTTTTGAACCCAGGCGGGCAGTGAAAGGTCAGGCGTTTGCCGACTTTATTGTCGAGATGACTAGGCCGGTGCACCCGGAAAACCCTGATCAGGTCTGGAAGTTATTTGTAGACGGCAGCTCTACGGTGAACGGCTGTGGTGCAGGTGTTATCTGTCATTCCCCGGAAGGGGATAAGTTTGAATATGCACTACGGTTTAAGTTCCAAGCCTCCAACAATGAGGCAGAGTATGAAGCCCTGCTAGCCGGATTGCGCATGTGTAAGGCAGCCGATGCAAGAAAGGTCGACGCCTGCTCAGATTCACAGCTGATCGTTAGCCAATACCTTGGTGACTACGAAGCCACCCATCCGGCTATGATCAAATATTTGCAGGCGGTCAAAGAGGAGGCTGGGTCCTTCGATGAATTTCATCTGCGACAGGTGCCCCGGTCTGAAAACAATCAGGCGGATGCCCTCTCAAAGTTGGCATCATCAGCCTCGGTGATGCTCCTAGGACGGTCTTTTGGGAAGTCATTGAAAAACGAAGTATTCAGAATGATCCATTGGAGTCTTGGACAGAACTGCTACCTGGATGGATCCCATCCGGTCCTTTTTGACGGATGGTACCTTGCCGGATGACCCTTCAGAAGCATCAGCGCTCAAGAAGCGTGCTTCAAGTTTTGTTATGCATCAAGGGGAACTCCTCCGGAAGGGATACCTGCAGCCGTTTTTGAAATGTGTAACCCCGGATAGGGGGAGAGAAGTTTTGGAAGATCTGCACGCGGGGTTTTGTGCCTCGCATATTGGCGGCAGGTCCCTGGCCAGAAGAACCAGACGGCAAGGGTACTTCTGGCCCACTCTTGAAGCGGATGCCATGGATCTAGTAAAGAGATGCGACAAGTGCCAAAAATTCGCTAAGTTGATACATCAACCGGCAACAGAACTCACGGCAATCCATAGTCCGGTTCCGTTTGCTAAATGGGGCATGGACATTTTGGGACCTTATACGCCTGCATCAGGCGGCCGCCGCTACATTCTTGTAGCAGTAGACTACTTCACCAAATGGGTTGAGGCAGAGGCGGTAAAAGGGATTAAAACGAAAGACGTGATTTCTTTCATCTGGAGAAACGTCATCACCCGGTTCGGGGTTCCAATGTCCATGGTTTTCGACAACGGACCGCAGTTCGAAACGCCTGTCCTGAAGACCTGGTTGGGAGACCAAGGAATTTCCCATTGTTTTGCATCCGTTGGCCGTCCTCAGGCAAACGGTCAAGTTGAGGCTTTTAACAAGTTGATCTCAGACGGGATAAAGAAGAAAGTAGAAAGAGCCGGTGGACTATGGGCAGAGGAATTACCTCATGTCCTTTGGGCTATCCGGACAACCGAAAAGGGGGCAACAGGTGAGACCCATTTCTCATGACATACGGCACTGAAGCAGTTCTTCCCATTGAACATTATGAGCCTACTCTACGCATTATGTTATATGATGAGGAGGCTAACTGGGAAGCCATGCGGTTGGCATTAGACGCTCTTCCAGAGCGAAGGGGGAATGCTGCCTTGCGTCATGAGATCTACCGTCTGCGTATGACTAGAGCCTACAACAAGCGGGTTCGTAAAAGACCTTTGAAAGAAGGAGATTTTGTGCTTCGCAAAATGGAGGCAACCGGTAGGGCCAATGAACAAGGCAAATTAACCCCAAATTGGGAGGGACCCTACCGGATCTTTGAAGGAGTACGAGACGGCACTTACCGCCTGGAAACTCCAGACGGAAGAAAGTTGCCTAGAACTTGGAATGTAGATAACCTCAAAAAATACTACTTCTAAGTATTGTACATCTTTTGAAAATTTTCAAATGATTAATGAGAATTACATTCAATTTTGTATACAGCCGCCATGTCTTGTGCCTACCACAAGCGGCACCAGTAACTAATTTTTTCATCCGGTGACACCCATACGGGTGAATTCATCGAAGAGAACATCTCCCATTTGGGTGGTAAATTGTTCTAAGCGATCACACAGGCGGACAAATCCGCCTGACGATCCTTCGCACCAAAAAAGGGCAGGCTAGCAACCCTTAACTTGCAGCCGGCTCACTTTTTGGAAGGACAGCCGGCACTCAATACCGCCGCCTGACTCTCTAAGAGCAGGGCTAAAAACATTTGGTCTAGGCCATAATTCATTCAGGGGTATGCTTGCAAAAGCCCAACCGGTGAATGGACATCCTAATCTGGCGTGATTCTTTTGCGAAGTCCCGACCGGTAATTCAGTATAAACCGACTGGCTCCCGAATCTAATGTTGGCACTTAGTGTATATTCGAGCTATATCATATGGATAGTCGCCTGGCTTGCAAAGATCCAGACCGCTATCCAGGGGCAATTACCCAGACGCCATCCGGTTTGGTTTTGGGTCGAAATTTCTTCGCCTAGTTTGCGAAGACCCAGACGCAGTTTTTTTTTTTTTTTTTTGTTTGCGAAGACCCAGACGCAGTGTTACCGGTGGGGTCTTCTTGGCAACCCTAGTAAATTTCTTTGCCTAGTTTGCGAAGACCCAGACGGCAGTGTTACCGGTGGGGTCTTCTTGGCAACCCTAGTAAATTTCTTCGCCTAGTTTGCGAAGACCCAGACGGCAGTGTTACCGGTGGGGTCTTCTTGGCAACCCTAGTAAATTTCTTCGCCTAGTTTGCGAAGACCCAGACGGCAGTGTTACCGGTGGGGTCTTCTTGGCAACCCTAGTAAATTTCTTCGCCTAGTTTGCGAAGACCCAGACGGCAGTGTTACCGGTGGGGTCTTCTTGGCAACCCTAGTAAATTTCTTCGCCTAGTTTGCGAAGACCCAGACGGCAGTGTTCCCGGTGGGGTCTTCTTGGCAACCTAGTAAATTTCTTCGCCTAGTTTGCGAAGACCCAGACGGCAGTGTTACCGGTGGGGTCTTCTTGGCAACCCTTGCAAATTTCTTCGCCTAGTTTGCAAAGACCCAGACGGCAGTGTTACCGGTGGGGTCCTCTTGGCAACCTTTGCAAATTTCTTTGCTGTTTGCGAAGACCCAAGCGGTAGTGTTACCGGCGGGGTTCTTTTGGTTATCCTCGCAGAAATATGTATAAAAAAATAACAAGAATTCTAGTATTGAAGTGCAGAAACATAAAAAGCATTCAAAAGCCGGCTCAGCCGGTGAAAATGTTAATATTCAAAATAAAAATTATTACAACTTAGCCCATCTCATCCGGTGCTATTACAAGATAATGCAAGGCGCGCAGGCCGGGAAGTAGTTGCTACTCCAGGCGAACAGTGAACCGGTCCTCTTCCGGTTGGTTCTGGGTTGGATCAGGGTGAGCGGCTGCGTCGGCTTCAGGAACAACTTCTTCCTCTTCAGCAGCCTCCGCCTGCCGTCGCGCAATCTCCTCTCTAACCCAAGCGTCATAGGGTCCGGGCCCCGGCTCATTCGCCTCCTCGGCCAGAATGGCAAGATCAGAATATTTGAAGGCGAGTTCCCAGACGGTGAAGTCCGCCTCCGGGTGGATGAGGGAAAACGCCCGTTGCATCCGGTTTGCACAGTCATGCTCATTCTCTTCAATGAGCCTCTCCTGCTCCGACTCCAAGGTGGCCTTGAAGTTCTCATTGGCAGCAGCCGCCTCTTTGCGCAGGCGCTCATTCTCTTTGGCAAGGCGGCCATTTTCAGTCTCCGCCTTGCTCAGCCGTTGGAGGGGCTCTTTCTGTTCCTCCAACTTTTTATTGGCATCATCCAGGGACGCCTGCAGTTGGTCAACTTGGTTTTTCAGCTGATCAATCTGCTGTTGGAGGGCCTTGGTCTTCTCCGCCTGTTCCATGCGTATAGATTTAGATTCTAAGCCATGCATGTACAAAGAGTAGTCAGCAACATTATGGGCGTCATCAACAACCCGTTTTCTTCTCCTTACCTCTTCAGACTTGCGGGTATAAGCTCGTTTGAGCCCCTCTACGCGCAGCATAGCCTGCAAAAATACAGCCGGTTAATACTGCATATTTAAAAATGCACGTCAAGAAAATTACCGCATGGTTGTTGGAGCATACGTCGGCCAGGTCGACCAGCACCCGGTCGGCATTAAAGGAGTTGATCCCAGGGATCGCCTCCTTCTCGTCCCTGGGGACGGCTTTCAGCATGGCCCGGGCATATTGTGCCCCGTCCGGCCAGCGGGGAGAATTATCTGCACCAGAAACAGACGGTGAGAAACTCGCATATGCTCTGCCTATAGATTGCCGGCTGATTGGAGAATCCCCCGGCTGCGATCGAGACTGTGAATAAGACTTGACCCGCATGGGCAGGTCAAGTAGTGTAAGGTCGAAGTTACCTTGGCAGCCCGAACGGCCTTCAGAGGGACCGGTTGCGGCCTCAATGGGATGGCAGAAAGCACATCCGCAGATCCAGGCCCGCCTGGGACCTTTATTGATTTGCCGCCGGTAGTTTGCCGGTCGGCTGTCTTCTGCACCTTGGATGCAGACTCTTGTTGGGTCGGCGGAGGCCTGACCTGTTTTTGAAGGGACCGGGGCATCTGCTTCCCGTCCTGTAAACGAGAAAAATATAAGTTATGGGATAAAAGGATTGAAATAAACGAGAAGGATCAGACGGTTATACCTTCCTCGCCGCCTGGGCAGCAAGTTTTTTCTCGAGATTGGCTTTCCGGATGTCGGCAGCCGACCTAGCCGGTGTCTTCTCGGTGGGCAGCATTTTCTTGGCTTCTTCTGCAGAGGAAGGCACACGGTTAGAATAATAAATAAGCAAGGAAATAAAAGCATCCGGTTCGAAAGAAACCGGCTGAGTTCCGAATACATACGTTTTTTAAACATGCTGCTTAGACCACAAGCGGACAAGAAGCATTCGTCCCTAAAAAATTCATGTTTGGGCACCCAGTTTCTAGGTACCCTTACTATCTCTCCGGATGAGAGGGTGTCAGGAACTAACTCAAAAAACCCGGAGTCAAGGATGGTCTCTCTATCATCCTTCGGGACAGGGGGCAGGCAGCACTTGGTCCCCAAGAGTTCTGGTTTCCGGTTGTAGATCCGTAATTCTCTGTTCTCTGCCGTAGTTGGGGCCTTAACCAAGTAGAACCGGTGCTTCCAGTCCGACCATTTGGATGGCTTGTCCAAGGTCATAAGGTATTTGGGCTGGATGGTCAAGGTATACCAGGCTCTCCAGCCGCCTGGGCTCCTACTCAAGTAATGCATGTGGGCAAACGCCTCCCAGCCGGGGTTGAGGCCCTGCATCTCGCAGGCGGCGATATACCCTAAAATATTTACCCATGAGTTGGGGGTTAATTGCCAGAGACCTAGGCCATACCCCCTAAGTATGGCTTTTATTGTGTCGTGGAGAGGGAAGCGGACTCCGGCCACGAAGGCCGCCTCGTAGCACCCGAACCAAGCGTTCGCGTTCGGTTGTCCATCCTCCCACCATATTGTTCCCAGAGCAGCCGGGATTTTTATTGTATAGTCACCCCCCAGCGGCCGCCGTTTGATAAAATCTGGCAGCGCAGCCCGCATGAGCTCGCGGTCCTTAGAGGAGACGGCGATCATGAGAGGATCGTTCCTATTATCCCAAGAAGGCCTCTTCGCCTCCTCGCTATCCTCTGATTCGGTTAAGTAGCTGCTACTGCTACTTTGAACGTGACCGGCATCAGAGCCGGCTGGGGAGTTGGAGACCTCCTTATCAGAGCCTACCTGCTCTCTGGTCTCCTGGAGGGGAGCAGTCTCTTAGTTTAAAATGCTATCACCCGGGGTGCTAGGAGCGCCCCCGGGTGAGCCTCTCTGCTCTACCTCTCCTTGCTCTACTTCACCGCCTGAAGCTGGGACCTCAGGCGGCTGCTCATCTGAGCTCCCACTTCTGTTGTTGGGATCTCTGGCAGTAGACCGGATTCTGGCCATTGTGTCCTGCACAGACACAGAGTCGGTCGATATGGGTGTTGAAAAAGGGTTGTCCCAAAGAACAGAGGCGGCAGACCTAGTTCTAGACTCAGCCGTACTAATAAACCGGCTGAGTTCACAGCTAGGTTCCGGGTATGGGTATAAGGGGTCCATCTACTTATGGGACCAATGAACAAAAATGCGAGTAAAAGACTCAAACGGAAATACATGAAAAAGCTAGAAAGAATAGAGAGGTACCTAGAAGAAAATCTGGAAATTCTTTGGGATGCTTGCGAAGACGCAGGCGGTTCAAAATCCGGCTGGGTTTCTCTGATTACCCTCTCGAAAACCTTTGGCTAGCTTGCAACGACCCAGACGGTCTGTAGACCGGTTGCTCTCAACGAATCTCAACTCCGAATGCTCTCAACTCTCAAATTGCCGGCTGCTCTCAAATTTTCAGAAATTTGGCAAAGTTTGTAAATGAGAGCTCGGGGGACATCTTCTCCTATTTATAGATTTTGTCCCAGAAGGTGAAAAGTCGTGACTCTTCGCCTTCTGCTTTTCCATCCTTCAAAAAGAATCTGAAGAGTTGTAAAAAAAAAAAAAAAAAAAAAAAAAAAAAAAAAAAAAAAAAACCTTTCACCGGCGCCACGTGGCACCCTGCCACGTCAGCACCAGTGAGGGGAAAATGTTTGGGGTAAAAATACCCTAAACACGTCGCCCAATGGCCTAGTGACACGTGGCATCCAGGCGTTGGTCAGCAGGGCTCCAATCCTCTGCTGACACGTGTCCTCTAAACCCTAAAAGGGAAACCATCCCTTCCCCACTATAAATAGTGGAAGGACCCTCATTAATGGGGGGCTGGAACATTTGTTGTTCACATTGAATACTCCTCAAAAAGAAAAACACTTACCCCGAGCAATATTAATTGTAGAATTCTCCCATTACGCGAGAAGTAACTTCTACATTACGTGCATTCTACCTCCCGTATCTTTACTAACTTGATCGTCGGAGGCGGAGCTCCTACCCCCAGGAGTCTTCGTGATTTTGCAGGCACAGGCGTCGAAGGGCATTCTTGGAATTGTAACTCTCCCGCAGGACACATAAAAAAACCCCGAAACAAAAGTCAAACACATTCAAACAAAGTTATTTAAATCAAATGGAAGTGAAATGCATTCTACAAAGCTAATTGAATCAAATGAAAGTTAAACACATTCAAACAACGCTATTTGAATCAAACGAAAGTCAAATACATTCTACGAAGCTAATTGAATCAATGAAAGTCAAACACATTCAAACAAAACTAATTGAATCAAATGAAAGTCAAACACATTCAAACAATGCCTTTTAAATCAAATGAAAGTCAAACACATTCAAAAAAAGCTTTTTAATTTAAATGAAAGTCAAACACATTCAAACAAAGGTATATAAGTCAAATGAAAGTGAAATGCATTCTACAAAGCAAATTGAATAAAAAGAAAGTCAAACACATTCAAACAAAGCTATTTGAATCAAATGAAAGTCAAATACATTCTACAAAGCAAATTGAATCAAATGAAAGTCAAACACATTCAAACAAAGCTATTTGAATCAAATGACAGTAAAATACATTTTACAAAGCTAGTTGAATCAAATGAAAGTCAAACACATTCAAACAAAGCTAATTGAATCAAATGAAAGTCAAACATATTCCAACAAAGCTATTTTAATCAAATGAATGTCAAATACGTTCAACAAAGCTAATTGAATGAAATTAAAAGTCAAACACATTTAAACAAAGCCTTTTAAATCAAATGAAAATCAAACACATTCAAAAAAAGCTTTTTAATTTAAATTAAAATCAAACACATTCAAACAAAGCTATATAAATAAAATGAAAGTGAAATGCATTCTACAAAGCAAATTAAATCAAATGAAAGTCAAACACATTCAAACAAAGCTATTTGAATCAAATGAAAGTAAAATACATTCTACAAAGCTAATTGGATCAAATGAAAGTCAAACACATTCAAACAAAGCTATTTAAATCAAATGGAAGTCAAATACATTCTACAAAGCTGATTGAATTAAATGAAAGTCAATCACATTCCTACAAACCTATTTGAATCAAATGAAAGTCAAATACGTTCTACAAAGCTAATTGTATCAAATGAAATTCAAACACATTCAAACAAAGTTATTTAAATCAAATAGAAGTGAAATGCATTCTACAAAGCTAATTGAATCAAATGAAAGTTAAACACATTCAAACAACGCTATTTGAATCAAATGAAAGTCAAATACATTCTACTAAGCTAATTGAATCAAATGAAAATCAAACACATTCAAACAAAGCTATTTGAATTAAATGACAGTCAAATACATTTTACAATGCTAGTTGAATCAAATGAAACTCAAACACATTCAAACAAAGCTAATTGAATCAAATGAAAGTCAAACGCATTCAAACAAAGTTATTTAAATCAAATGAAAGTCAAATGCATTCACACAAAGCTAATTAAATCAAATAAAAGTAAAATACATTCTACAAAGCTAATTGAATCAAATTAAAAGTCAAACACATTTAAACAAAGCCTTTTAAATCAAATGAAAGTCAAACACATTCAAAAAAAGCTTTTTAATTTAAATTAAAATCAAACACATTCAAACAAAGCTATATAAATCAAATGAAAGTGAAATACATTCTACAAAGCAAATTAAATCAAATGAAAGTCAAACACATTCAAACAAAGCTATTTGATTCAAATGAAAGTAAAATACATTCTACAAAGCTAATTGGATCAAATGAAAGTCAAACACATTCAAACAAAGCTATTTAAATCAAATAGAAGTCAAATACATTCTCTAAAGCTGATTGAATTAAATGAAAGTCAATCACATTCCTACAAAGCTATTTGAATCAAATGAAAGTCAAATACGTTCTACAAAGCTAATTGTATCAAATGAAAGTCAAACACATTCAAACAAAGTTATTTAAATCAAATGGAAGTGAAATGCATTCTACAAAGCTAATTGAATCAAATGAAAGTTAAACACATTCAAACAACGCTATTTGAATCAAACGAAATTCAAATACATTCTACGAAGCTAATTG